AACATGGTGAAACCCCGTCTCTACTAAAAATACAAAAAAAATTAGCTGGGCATGGTGGTGCGTGCCTGTAATCCCAGCTACTCAGGAGGCTGAGGCAGGAGAATTGCCTGAACCCAGGAGGCGGAGGTTGCGGTGAGCCGAGATCGCGCCATTGCACTCCAGCCTGGGTAACATGAGTGAAACTCCGTCTCGAAAAAAAAAAAAAAAAAAAAGACAAATAGGAAAGGGAATAACTGTCATCACTATAGACACAAAAGTGAATAAATAGGACTACACAAACCTCAAGACCTAGGTCATATGCTACATACTCAATACATTTAAATTTTGTTGGTGAAGCACAAGAGAGCCAAATGTGGAGAATAAATCGTATTCAAAGCCAACTGCAACATCTCAAACATAACTAATCTATTAGGAGATGGTACATGGTAGACAGGGTTCAACCCCCAGAGGAGGAAGCCTTTAAAAGGGAGATGGTTGGTAAGGCCCCATAAAGAGGGTTCAGAGCAGATGCCCAGTGCCAGTGGGAGAATGAAGTCAAAATCAGAGCTCAAATGCATGACACCTACACGGTAAACAATTAGAAAGGCTATAGCCTAGATGAAGAGTAGAGTTTGTTAATTCATTAATTCATCAAAAATATTTATGGAGTATCTAATATGTTTTAGGTAGCACCCTGATGAGGGGTGGAGACACAGTAGAGAGGAGGACAGATCGGATCTTTAGCCTTCAGACTCACTGAATATCAAGCCTATGGCACTGAGGCTCGAGATTCTACTCATTGTCAGTATTACATAAATCTGTCCTATTTTTACACCTATGTTATGTTGCAGTGTAATAGCTCTCCAAAAATATACTGAAATAAATTAGGCAAAAGAATTTTTTTAGAAGAGCTGCATCACCCTTTCCTGAAGTATAAAGTTTACACATCTGTTCAAATACATTAACATGCCCATTTTGGCTTGCTCATTATGATATGAACAAGATGTTCCCATGTTAATGTAAATACTAACCCACACCATCTCCTCACAAGATAGAATGCATCCTTGTGGCTGTGCATGAATGAGCTTTGGCAAGTGGCAAATGTTCTTTTGCCTTAGTTTTCCCTGGTGACCTACACCTGACATTCAGTGAAACTCACATTTGCCGTAGATTATCACTTTCATAATGAAATAAGGAGGAGAAGGGAGAAAGGGAGAAGTGAGTCTGTCCTTGTATAATGTATTAAAATGTGAGCACAGCAATTCCAAATTAACCACCACGTTGATGACTGCAGTTGGGAGATAATGCAGACAAATGGGTGTTACACAATTTTAAAGCTATACAGCCCTTTATACATTTTTTACTTTAGAACAATTAAACTGATTAATTTATCAATGTTAATCCTTTCTCTTTGTATAAATTTGGTTGATAGCCCTTTGGGAGAGGTGTTAAAGATGCTAACTGTCTACGCTCCATGTCTTGATGTGTTGATAGAGGGCTAGGCTCAGGAAGGATACTCATAACCCTTGTTATGGTTTGTAAAGACTCCAGGGGCCGGGCGTGATCGCTCACACCTGTAATTTCAGCACCTTGGGAGGCCGAGGCAGGTGAATCGCCTGAGGTCAGGAGTTCAAGACCAGCCTGATCAACGTGGAGAAACACCATCTCTACTAAAAATACAAAATTAGCTGGGCTTGGTGGCGCATGACTATAATTCCAGCTACTAGAGAGGCTGAGGCAGGAGAATCGCTTGAACCCGGGAAGTGAAGATTGCAGTGAGCCATGATCACCCTATTGCACTCTAGCCTGAGCAACAAGAGTGAAACTCCATTAAAAGAAAAATCCAGGAAGGCACAGAAGCATTTTTGAAGTCTTGATCAAATAAAATAAGGTGAGATATAACTTCAAAATACATTCCATTTAAATCCAACAAGGTCTAGGTGAATATGTTTACTAAGAAGTGTTGTCTATATACTATAAAATTGTGGGTGACCCTTCCCTAGTAGATGACAACTTCCCATGGCTATTTCCTGAATAAACTCAGAGAAGATGATTCTAGAGAAAACTTACTAGGAAAAACAGATGTGTTTTAGAAGTGGATACTTTCTGAAAATATTTATGTTTAAAAATAGTTTTCCTCAAATTCTCTGTTTTATATTATCTGATCTGTGATTTTGCTGACTTTGGTCAGTCCCTTTTCAAGGACTTAAACTCTACAATTGATGAAGGATTATTGTATGCAACTTACAGATACTATAGTTCTTCCCTTCGCAGAAGAGGTACATTGTGTTTTTCTTAAATTTTAGGGCAAAATACCTGAAGGACCTTAAGACCTAAAGAACAGAATTAACAAACACAAGAAGCTAGTGCCAGTTTTAATCTCTGTATTTGACAAAAAAAAAAGGAGATAAGCTAATATATTTTTAAAATGTATCTGAGACACTAAAATCAAATATCAAAAAAGGACAGTTTTTGAATAAGGCTGAAAAATATTTATTCTGGGTTTCCTAACCCTAAACACTTCAGCATAGAGACATTTTATAAAAAGAATAAGTAAAGGAAGTCAGGGAGTAAATAAATGGTTGTGTCTTCACATTTGAAAGTGCGGAGGAGCAAATACTTGAGCACTTCTTTCCTTAGATCATCTATCTCATTGGGGTGGTATCAGGCATTATACAACTGCTTCTCTTTAAAAATTTTTTGTTATAAGTTTCCCCTATCATTATATCTCAGAAAATTCAGTAGCTCAATGTGCACTAATCTTCTGGCCTCACCTTTTCATGCCTTATGAATTATCTAGATATTTGCAATGTGAAATTACCTATGAGGCAAAGGATGTGTCTTTTTTATTACCATAAACTGTTTGTTACAAATGAACAGAAATATACTTAATATCTGGGCCCTGGTATGCAAAAAAATTTTTCAAAATTTTTATGGTCAAATTGTTTGCAATCAGTCCTAAATCACTCCTAAATTTGCATGCTGGGATTCTGAAACATACTTGCATTTCACATAATCTTTCTGGCCCATTAGTTCCTGATAATTACCAACCATAGTTGTTGAAGAATATTCTCACCTTTTGCAGAAGTGTAATTACCACATACACACTTGGATTATAGATTCATAGTTTCTTAACATCACTTCTTCCTTTCACACCCAATAATCCAGGGTAAAAGGCAATTTCACCTGTTTTGTGCTTAGACCACTGAAAGTAAACTCACTCTCATTTAGGTTTATGTGCTCAATCACCCCTTATTCTAAGGGATCTTTGGGGGAACCTTTGATCTAGAGAATCTCTTTCCCATGAAGCTCAATAAGTCCTACCTCAATTCACCAAAACTGGATAAAGTGCTTTTTGAACTGGTATCCCAGTGTATCAGCCCATTCTCACATAGCTATAAAGAACTACTTGAGACGAGTGATTTATGAAGGAAAGAGGTTTAATTGACCTACAGTTTTATAGGCTTTACAGGAAGCATGGTTGGGGGAGCCTTGGGAAACTTACAATCATAGCAGAAGAGTAGAGGGGAAGCAAGCACCTTCTTCACATGGTGCAGCAGGAGAGAGTACGAAAAACAGGAAATGGCACATACTTTTAAAAAACCAGATCTCCTGACAACTCACTATCATGGGAACAGCAAGAAGGAAATCTGTCCCCATGATCCAATTATCTCCCACTAGGTCCCTTTCCCAACATTAGGGATTACAGTTAAACATAAGGTTTTGGTGGGGACACAGAGCCATGCCATATTATTCTGCCCCTGGCCCCTCCCAAATGTCATGTCCCTCTCAGCATTTCAAAACCAATCATGTTTCCCAACAGTCTGCCAGAGTCTCAACTCATTCCAGCATTAACTCAAAAGTCCAAGTCTAAAGTCTTATCTGAGATAGGGAAACTCCCTTCTGCCTATGAGCCGTTAAAATAGAAATCAAGCTAGTTACTTCCAAGACAAAATAGGGGTATAGTTATTGGGTAAATGCTACCATTCCAAAAAGGAGAACTTAACGAAAACCAAGGGATTAGAGGCCCCATGTGAGTCCAAAACCCAGCAAGGCAATCTTTAAATCTTAAAGCTCCAAAATAATCTCCTGTGACTCCATGTCTCACAGTCAGGTCACACTGATGCAAGGCATAAACTCTCAGGCTCCACCGCTGTGTCTCTTCAGGGTATAGGCCCTGCAGCTACTTTCACATGCTGGTGTTAAGTGCCTATGACTTTTCCAGGAACACGGTACATGCTATCAGTGAATCTAACATTCTGGGGTCTGGAGGATGGTGGCCCTCTTCTCACAGCTCCACTAGGTGGTGCCCTAGTGAAGACTCTGTGTGGGGGCTCCAACCCCACATTTTCTCTCTGCGCTGCCCTAGTAGAAGTTCTCCATGAGGGCTCCACCCCTGCAACAGACATCTGCCTGGACATCTGGGCATTTATATAAATCATCTGAAATCTAGACATAGGTCCCTCAAAGCTCAACTCTTGCCTTCTGCACACCCAAAGGCCCAACACCATTTGGAAGCTGCCAAGGCTTGGGGCTTGTACCCTTTGAAGCAATGACCTGAGTTATACCTTGGCCTGTTTTAGCCTAGGCACATTCTTCCACCAGCTACGCTAAATCATTCTGTAAAGTTCAAAGTTCCACAGATCTCTAGAGCAGAGGAAGAATGTCACCAGTCTCTTTGCTAAAGCATAGCAAAAATGACCTTTGCTCCAGTTCCCGATAAGTTCCTCATCTCCATCTGAGACCTCCTCAGCTGGGACTTCACTGTCCACATCAGTATCAGCCTTTTGATCACAACCATTCAACAAGTCTTTAGGAAGTTCCAAACTTTCCCTCATTTCCTGTCATCTTCTGATCCCTCCAAACTGTTCCAATCTCTGCCCATTATACAGTTCCAAAGTCACATCCATGTTTTCAAGTGTCTTTATAGCAAAGCCCCATTTACCTTGTACCAATTTTCTGTATTAGTCCATTCTAACACTGCAATAAAAAACTACCCGAGACTGGGTAATTTTTGAAGAAAAGATGTTTAATTTTCCTGTACAGCCGGTCCACAAGCTGTACATGAAAGATGATTGAGGGAGGCCTCAGAAAATTTGCAATCATAGCAGAAGGGTGAAGGGGAAGCAAGCACCTTCTTCACATGGTGGAGTGGAAGAGAGAGAGTGAGAGGGGAAGTGCTATGCAATTTTAAACAACCAGATCGCATGAGAACTCACTGTTAAGAGAACAGGAAATTTGCCCCCATGATCAATCCCCATCAGGTATCAATCCCCAACACTGCAACATTACGGATTATAGCTCAACATGAGATTTGGGTGGAGACACAGAGCAAAACCATATCACTCAACTACTGGAGACATTTTTCCTGAAAGAAATAGGTATACTGTTGACTTCAGTTTCAGACATTTCCCATTATTCCCCTACTAGAAGACCTAAACTGAAACCACTGGTTGTGGTGAAGGACAATGTGGAACATACTCTATTCATTGACAGAAGAAGAACCTGGGGAACTCACTAACTTTAGAAGTCTCAGGAGATCAAATCTTTCAGCTGTTGACATATTTGATCATATTCTGTATCCAAGATCTTCCAGGGCTTTCCTCAGAAATATTGTGTTTATTCAGCAACATCTTTCTTAAAGATGGTAGAAGGCATTGCATTTTTTGCTCATGGCTCCATTGCCCTGGTGATCAGCAATTTAATGTACTACCACCCCTTTGGGCTACTGCTGTCTGCTTCTGCTTTTTCTTCCTAGTGTCTGCCTTTCTGCTAAACTTGTTCCCTCCAACCGTTCTGAGGCAATTAGAAAGGGTTAGTCTCTAATATGCTTCCTTTAGGAGCCATCAGGATAAATTCCACTTTTCTTCTCAACAACGAATGTGCCTAATAAATCTTTGATTCTTTTACCATCGTGTACCAGGCTTAATATTAGTGCACTCTGACATGAGAGGAGTGCTGTGTTAGCCTTGTTTCCTCTCCTCCCACACAAGCTATTAGATCATTTTTACTTATCCAGCTCACATGCAAAAAATGTCTTAGACCTAGATCAAAGAAATTGGAGGTGAATTCAAAGACACAAAACTCACAGGTATTTTATTAATTACTCAGTAGTGATATCTACCACATTACACATCTGAGCAAGTTTCCCTGCTATTCTTCACTAGAATTCACTCAAGACAGTGGTAATACTCAGCAACCTCAAATGGGGCGAAAAGTATATTGTATCTGAAAAGCCCTGAACAATCAAGTATTCTCCTTTTTAAAAGGCCTGTCAGAAACAATGTATGCTACTAAATAAGGCAATAATTCCACAACTCAACAAAGGCATATAATATGTGCCCAAAGACCAGGTCCCAGGACTTGAAATTATTCTGTGCCAGCAATTTTGAAATCTCAGTTTATTTGAGGCTCTTGTCATAAAACCTAGACATTTCCCATTTATGTTCTTTTAAGCTCTTCTCTTGGGCAGTCCTGGTCACAGGGTACCATAGCAATGATGGGCTTATAGATGGGATTTAACACTACAGAAATGGGTGAAGTTGCTTGGAGTAATGATGTTGAGTAAGAAAAGCAGATATCCCAGGACTGAGATAAATGTTGTCCTAATATTTGAAGGTTGGGGAGAAACAACAAGGAGAGTCTTTTAAGGAATACTGATAAAGAGTGGTCAGAGAAGTAGTGATAGAATCAGAAATGTTTGAAAAAAAAGAAACATACAACTTTTATTTCCTTGAACAGTGGTTTGCAGTTCTCCTTGAAGAGGTCCTTCATCCCTTGTAAGTTGTATTCGTAAGTATTTTATTCTCTTTGAAGCAGTTGTGAATGGGAGTTCACGCATGATTTGGCTCTCTGTCTGTTATTGTTGTATAGGAATGCTTGTGATTTTTG